GCTTGCGGTTGAGTATGAATGAACGCTTGATTTGCTTCCGGAGAAGGAAGGCGATTTGATGTGTTTGCTCGTATTTTGCTCGACGGTGGAGGTGCAGCATTGGATGGAGGTGCATCAGTACTGATTCGCTGTATAGAAATATGTACGTAGATTACGTATAATTAGTACCGCAGTACTGAATGTACAGGGGGTACATGCGCATGGCAGGCAAGCCAGCCGGCCCTGGAGGTTCGGAATTGCCAATAACTTGCCAGTACGGGGCTTGCCTTTAATAGCTCTATCAGGAAAACTTTCGTTGCCGGGGTACAAATCTGACTTAAAGTAACGAACACCGCAAGGTCAAAAAAATCTCATACATCATTACAAGAGGATTCCGATGATCATTTATTTGCTTTTGACTCTTATCAGCATGCACTCCTACTAGTTCTATGAGGATAGGAATACTAGTACTACCAACCATGGCCCCATGGGAAAAAGAACGTGCAGTTCTATCGTAAGAAAGATTCGTAACCTAGGCATAGCGCATCATTAGTATTGTTATATTCAAGATGCAGCCAGAGAGGACTGGATTGGAATCTACCATAACATATAGTCCCTTGCTGCTGCGGTCGCGTTGTAATCTATCGAAGCTATATTACAGCCGAATATTCCCAAATAGTCAATCAAATTCCTCTCTTATAATTTTGATTTTCGCAGATGAAAGAAGTATTAGCATTAAGCATGACGTCCGACTCTTTTCCAAAACCCAGAAAGATGAACCTTGCTCTACTCGATTGTTTGGAGCAACCTATCATTGACTGGTGCTGTCGATGATGCCATCATCGCCGCTTCAATTTCCTTCTCTTCCCCTGCCGAGATGAAAGTCGTTTCGGTTCCATCCAACCCACATTCTTCTTGCCCCAGTCCTCCACAGTCGGCCGAAACATCCGCGACAATGCTCTGCCAGAAAATATCAATGACGTTTCCGATGAAGAGTCTCCACTCCAACGGCGCGTTGTAAATCAAGAGGTTGGCCAGGGTCCAGACCTTGGCATTCGACACGAGCAGGCCGTTGAGCTTGCTTGTTACTTCCCCCCGGATGCTGCCCACGGATCCACCGTTCATCAGGGTCGAGATTGGAATTTCAAACGTTCCGTAAACGAGTGGACACCACAGGAATTGTTCCATCAGGATGGACATCAGAGTCGTCACCGCGGCCGTGTGGGCCTTGCAAAAGGCTAGAAAGGAGGCATTAGCCTGGACCGAAAAGATGCTCCCCGTTAGAACGTACAGCGATATTTTGTTGTGGTTGTAGCTACCGTCACCTCCAATCTGGTCGATATCCTCTTGGAACCGGAGAAAGCTGTCGATTTGATCGTACCAAAAGGTCCACAGGATTCCCCCGAGGCAACCCTTGGAGGCAAACCGCAGCGTCCGCTGGAGATTGTAGTTACTGGTGCTGTCTTCGTTGGTTCCTCGGCTTTGGGCGAGGACGTCACCAATCCCACACAAAATGCCGGCCGTCAGTGATTTGGTTGGAAGGGGGTGCTCAAGGAGCGCCGTCCCGTAGGCTCCCGAAAGCGTGTAGGCCAGTTCCATTGGCATAGCCGAGAGACTCGACGCGTGAACAGTTTTTGTCAACGAGCCTGCTTGCCCGGGGAAGGGCATTCCTTTGCATGGAAGCACTGCTCTACTGTTGTGGCAGTTTTGATCACGAGACGGAAAAGAAGAAGTTGGAATTCTTGGTTGAATTACCACGGGGGCAAAAGCTCCCACAGATTGTACCCATGGTGTGACTGTCGTCACCCACCGACCATTGGCCTCAAAAAATGCAAAGGCTAAAAGGCAAAGCATTCCATGGGCTGCTGTGGTGCGACAAGTTGCTTGTCTCCGCCGTATCCTCGTGGTTTCATATTGCCTCATGGTGGTGATACTGTATGGTACGCGATCATATTTTGCAACACGCGGTTGGTTTGGTCGTCCATCTGTCAAAAACGCGGCTTCTTGGTCTTTTCATGGCGTAACGAGCGAGGTTTTGGCGGTCTTGCGTGAATTTTTCGGTTTTTCGGTTTTTTGGATGAATGAGTCAGTCAGTCAAATAAGCGATAATTTAATGCCTTTATTTACGAAGTACATAGTTTCTCGTATTCCCCCTTTCATATCTGTGCACGACTGGGAATGGTGCAGCTGGATGCAATCCTACGGTAAGTACGTACCGTACGGTACAAGGATCCGTGGGTCATAAAAGTAAATTCTAAATTTAAAATTTAGACCACTTGAAGGATCTTCCTTTCCGCTTTTGAAAAAGCAACTTCTCAATGAAGCCCGCGCCCATTTTTTTCAGCTTGTTTAAGTAGTACTACGGGTAAGAAGTACGTACAGAAGACTATGATTTGGCTCTTAGGAGACGCGGTCGTGTTGCAATGACTCCTGCCGAGAAGAGAAGCGAAACGCATTCGTATTCCAAACGGCACGTTCTCTCGACAAAAAGAATCAATGCATCTTAACTTGGGATTCGTATTCGTGCTCCTGTTACTGGAGAAGTCTGAATACTTGTTATGTGCAACGTTCGCAATCAAAATATTTCAGAACGCCAAGTAAACATGAAATTTTTTTTAACGCACAACGTCCCTTAATCACCATCGAACATTTTCAATAATTAGTGTTTCAAACAATCGTGTGTGCTTGTAGTCGCGCGCATGCGTCACTTTTGATGTTAATTGTTGTCACACATATTATTTGCATGTGCAGACGAGCGTCCTCGTACTCGTTCGGAGACGTTATTGCATTTTTCTTTCGAATGTTGAAAATATTGCTTCTCCAACTGAGCATTACAGTACGTACCGTATTTATTGTGATGAAAGATTTTTTAAATTGGGTTATGATTCAATAGCATATCGGAAGAAAGCAAAGAACCAAAAAATACAGAAAAGGACAATCATTGGTGCAATTTAGAGAAGGAAAAGAAAGTAACGAAAAACGAAAAACACCACTTGTAATTGTTATCGGGGAGCATTTGTCACGAAAAGTGTATGATAAACTAGTCCTTGAGAAAGAGAAATTGCTTCGATAATGATTGAGGATCAATCGAAGCTGATACGCCACCGCGGTTCAATTGGTTTGCCAATCGAGCAACAAAATTCTATTACGGATCCGATGATGGGCAGCGGATTCCATTCCCAAAGCGAGGGAGACGGGAGCAAGGGAAAAAGAACGAATTCCATCTGCTTCAACCAAAGGTTAATGACGATCACGGTCACGCCTCGATCATTGTTACTCACAGTGGTGTGTGTTTGCCTTGGATCTCATCTCGTTCGCAATAACGGGGACCGCGAACTATCTTCACTACCACATTCTATCGCAAGTAATGATTTTTTCGCAACGATGGACGCGAATCCAATCGACAACGATCCACGCGACAACGATCATGGACAATGTACGTAATGCAAACAAAGTCATACGAACAAAGAGTCAACAACCATCTTGTTTACAGAGTTTCGCTTTTGTTTCGATTTTGCCACAACTGCTAACATGGATTCTTTGAACACATTATCGCTTGCTACAACTTTGCAATGGGTAACTCACTGCATTGTGCTGGAAGGCGGAATTTGGATGGCCCCCTCATCTCTTTTGCCCTACCCCGGTGTAAGTTTGCAAATCTTTAGGGGAGAAAGTTTTTTTAAAAACTACACCAAACGAAAACTACCTCTTTATCACACAATATTCGCACAACTAATTCTTTATGATCTGCTTCTGGCCTGTTTAGTACGGGATATTCACAACTCGAAACATACACCGAAAAGAATCAATCCTCCACGCACCAGACGCGGTTTCGATACAGATCCGGGAAGCTCACCGGTTCAAAAAGATGCCGCAGAGCGCAGAGAGGCATCGCTGGTGGGACAACACCTTTGGAAACGTGCGTAATGGAAGCAAAGAAGGAAAAATACACAAAGTGTTGCGTACAGCAAGTGATTGGAATCATATTATGGCCGCTAACAATACCTCGTTTTCGACCTATTTCTTTGCCCCAAATTTTGTTGTTGGCTTATTACACACGCACGAAACAAACAAAAGTATGTATGGCATAGAGGTGTCGGTGACCACGCGAGGTACGATCACCCTTACATGACATCGGATTTTCAGCCAGGCTTTGGCGCCCTGCCAAACCACCATTGCGTTCTCTCCTCACTTGACTTCCGAATGGCCGAGGACACGGTTCGTGATGGCCTGGTCGGATATGACAGCCCCGGGCGAGGAGCCTTTTCGTACACGGTTGGGCGGGATTTTTACGCAACGCGGGAACTCTCGGCAGGGGAAGAAATAGTAAGTCGTATCATCAAAATGTGTCTGTTCCACCCACTGTAGAACAATTCCCAAGTGTGTGGTCTCACAATCAATCTACTGGTACCTTTTCCTGTCGGAAACGATGACTTTGATTTCGGCACACCGAGCAGTTTCTGAACTATGGCCATTGCGAACGCGAACGTACCAGCGGTGATGGAGATGACGACAACAGCGGTGATGAAGGAGACTGGCAAAGCAAAATGTATTATCCATCTGATTTTCGTGAGGCAGCCAGGATTTTCCGATTTTTTGAGCCATTCGGAAATAAGCCGTGGCCGACGAAAAATGTGACGAAGACTCTCCTTTCCATGATCGATTCAGACTCAGACTCGGATGCCAAACCCAAATTCGTCCTGAAGATACTGTCGAAAGCATTCCCCAAACGCGATGTGATATTGAAGAAACTGAGCCAGTACTCTAAAGCAGACAAAGAGTACCGAAAAGAATTCAGACGGGAGATGGCCAGAGGTGTGCTAGAGCCCCGGGACACCCAGTGGATTCGAAAAAATGGAATATGTCTGGAGCACCTGATACCAAAGAGGAGCACCCTGCCAAATGCAGGCCTTGGTGGATTTTCTCAGTACGGCATTCGAAAGGGCGAGATTGTCGTTCCTACTCCAGTTCTCCAGACGGTCCACAAGGAAATCCTGACGTTATATCAGAGAGGTGTCAACGTCCGGGAAGATCCAGAAAAATACAAACTTGGGACAGGGCTACTCTATAATTATTGTTTCGGCCATTCAAAGAGCTCTATGCTCCTCTGTCCGTTGACGAGCGCCATGCTCATCAACCATTGCAGTAAGCGAACCCAAGCTTGCGGTCCAAATGGGCCCAATGCGGTTGTCCGCTGGTCCTCAGGCTGGGACGAGACCTCACACGAGTGGCGAACAAAATCCCTCGACGAGATTGATAAAAAATTCGGAAGAATACTTTCATTCGAGATTGTCGCCACACGGGACATTGCCCCGGGGGAAGAAGGTAGGTGTAAAAATCGTCGCTGTTGGAATGGTTGGAGCGTACCACCTGTTTTCTGTTCTGACACTTCGTTGTTTTCCCCCATCAGTTTTTATCGATTACGGTGAGGATTGGGAAAATGCCTGGCAGAAACACCTCGAAGCGTGGCATCCTCCCGAGAAGATTGCGAATTTTGTGACGGTGCAGGAGGCAAATCACAAGCAAGAGCCGATCCCGGAATATCTGATCTCCGGAGACTTGCGAAAAACAGTGGAACATCCGTACTTATTCCTCGGATGTCAATACTCTACCAACGAAGAGGATGACTACGGCGAAAAATGGTATAAGAAATCCGAAACCCCGTGGCGGGACTTGACTGACAATGAAATCCTCGAGAAGTACTCTGACGAGGCGGGAGATATTGGGTACAACGACGCGACTGGGTACATCAACCACGCCGAGTACAGCCATTGGCCATGCTCCGTCCTGAATGCGAACGATGAGGACGGAAGGGTCACGTACACCGTGCGGATCCACCAAAGCCCCCTGAGATCGGATTTCACCGAGACAACGGTCTGGGCGAAGAACAATGTGCCCCGGATCCTCACAGACTACCGAAGGGAAAACATTCACTTTTTTGTCAAGCCAGACTCCCAGGACCACATGCTACCGGGCGCCTTTCGCCACCACGTCGGCGTTCCCGACGGAATTTTTCCAGAGCAGTGGAAGAACCTAAAGCTTGCAGGGAAAGCTATTAAAGAAACCGAATAGAATTTATGCATAGAAACATGATATCAGCCTGCGTCACATGGGTATACCTAAATATATTGGGAGTTCCTTTGGTTTAAATTGTAAAATCTGGAAGGGCTAAGGCGCCTCTCTAGTGTTAGAATTTCTAGAGCACGTGTCAAGTTCTCATTAAGCCATTTCTTGTTCAAACAACCAACCAAAGCAAGAGATATTAGAACAAAACTTATTTATGCCGTAAGGTTTCATTGTTCGAGCAGAAAAACGAAAATATCATGTTTTTATTTTATTAGAAAAGCAATTTCATCGTTGTACCTTTTCTTCTCAAGAGGTCATGGAGTAAATCTTTGGCTTTGCTTTGCCAGAGTACCCCACCCTCCGATTCGCTACACACGTTGTTCCTTTAGGAGTTTCATCACTCCGTTGCAATGGGCCATCCCCAACACGGCCACGACGACTTTTTCTTTGTCTCCGGGTTCGGGAGAATCATAATCGCCATTCATCAGGGTTTCCGGATCGGTTCCGGGAACGTAAACAATTCCCACTTCTGGCTCTCGTTCCCCTAGTGCCTGCTCGCCAAAGGTCGGTGGCGAAGAGATGAGGCGAGAGAGCCAGTTATTGCTGTTGCCGGCTGCTTTTCCGTTTGTTGCGTACAGGGCGCACTGGTCCAGGACGCTCCTGGCCAAGATCTCGTTCCGGTCTGCAAGGAGCGGCTTCAGGAGTAAGCGGGCAAAAAGTACTGTTTCCAGAACGGCAATCCCGACAGATAGAACGTAATCTTTCCAGGTTGCGTCCGCGGTCCCGGCCGACAGAACGGCCGAAGCAGCCGCCAGAAGGGTGGAGGAGAGACCGTCAGCGCTTCCGGGGTCGAGGTCCAGGCTTCCGCTTCCATACAAGTTGAGTGCCGCCAGGAGGGCAAAGAACGTCCCAACCGGGATCGGGTCCTTGACCAAGAAKGAGAGGGGATACTTGACCAGGCTTACTGGGAGCGAAATGAGGAGGCGCGGATCGAAAAAGGCTACCGCGCTGAGGTAGTCGTCGTCTCCTTCGCGAAGTGCCACATCGGTTTCCTGCGAAGAAGAGAGGGACAGCGGGGCCATGGGAATCGTCTCGTTCCAGTTTGCGCCGATCTCGTCGAAGGACCGCTTCCATCCGCCCGGCCCGCCCAAAAGCAGATCCGATGCGGTTTCCTTCAGCGATGCCTTGAGGGCGTCGACCGTGGCGTTGATCCGCTGGTCCCCCAGGACTGTTGGCCTCTGGTACTTCGACGCGACCTCCCAGGCGGCGCGCATCTCGTTTCCCAAAAAATCCTTGTCGTTGGAGAGCGGCTGCAGTTGCGTGACCCGAGAAGTTTCTGCGCCATCGTTGCCTTCACTGTCGTCATCCTCTAAAGGCCATCCCAGCGATTGTTTCCAGCGGTTCGTCGCCTCCAGTCGCTGTCTCTGCTTTTCTTCCTTCTTTTGTAGCATTTCCTGCGTCTTGTTCCATCGAATGTCGCAGGACTCGATAATGACCGAGGCGAGCTCGCCCTGTTCTCCCAGCTTCTCGACGGTGGTTTCCACTAGGTTGATAGAGGCAGGGTTGTAGTGCATCGATCCGATCAGGAGGACCGTGACGTTTGTGGTGGGCTCGCGGAATCGCAGGATCTGCCGATCTTCCGGGAACCAGGACGATAGCGGCGATCCTATAGACGACGACGAGGGTTCTCCAACCTCCGTTGTTTCTTCGTTGGCGTAGCGGAAGGGATATTTTTGATTGGTTTGCATCTGGGGCAGAAAGGATTGGCACGTGGATACGAACAACGCCAACCACAGAAATGCCACAAACGCCATTCCGGCACGAGCCGAACCTCCGACCGGGGCTGCAGCGGCGATCATCTTATGCGTTTCTGTGTTGTGTTGTAATTTATAGTATATCGTAGAAGACGCTGTTGTCCTCCGTGTCTGCGAGAGAATGCTGTGGTTCGATTGCACTTTATCGTAGTCCGAAAGCGGCGGTGATTGGAAATCAGGCAGGGCGAGTTTTGTATATTGTTCCTTTTCTGGCAAGGAGAAAGTAAGAATATGGTTTCTCAACCAAAGACCGAATTGCTTTCAATGCATCAATCTATCCATTATCACTATGTCGTCCATAAATGATAGAGGTGGAGACACAGACGGAACGGAACAGGAAGCAGATTGTCGATGTCATTTATTCTCCTCGGGAGACACAGGCTGAGCGATGGATGGAATTTATTCTTTGGATGCTCGTAGATTCTGCGATTGATTGATTCGATTGCATTGATTCTGATTCGATTCTTCTTTTTTCGGTTTAGTTTCGTTGCTTGACATAATGTACATACTTTACGTAGAGGTACGGTACGAAGTCACGAAATCGTTGCATTTGGTGCATCAATTGGATCCGGCAACAATTCCTTCTACCCTTTTATCCAATCAAATTGCTTCAAAAGACTGACTCACCCACTCACCCGCTCCAGAATCAACTCAATTTGTGTCCCTGCCAGACAGAAGCACGGCACAAGCATGGGATGATAGGATTGAAACCAATCATCCACAAGATTGCGAAGTGCCGACCTCTCGGATTTTAATCAACTGAGTCAACAAACTACGGCCCCGACCTCTCATCGTACCGGTAGCGTGCATGCGGTACGGTGGCTTACGCATCGTGGCGTAGCGTATTAGCACAATAGTACCGTACTTACCAGTACGAGTACGTACGTAACCGAGCTGTTCAACTCGAAATTCTCAGGAAGATCCTTTTTCTTTCCGCCTGCCGAACGATGGCCCCGAGTTCTCATCGTAGCGTCCATGCGGTACGGTGGCTTACGCATCGTGGCGTAGCGTATTAGCACAATAGTACCGTACTTACCGGTAAGTAATCGAACTGTTCAACTCGAAATTCTCTGGAAGATCCTTTTTCTTTCCGCCTACCGTACGGTACGTACGGAACTCGTGCTTGCAGTACTCGTACTCATACGGATATGTCTAATAATCGTCGAGTAATTAGTCGCGCGCGGGTAATCAACGAGTAATCAAGGTCGAATGGAACAGTAATCAAATTTTCACGATGCGCGCACTGTAGATTCTTCTCCTAGGGGATTGGGCTCTTTTCCCTCCCTGCTACAAGCACTGCCTCCGCGATGTAGGGGATTGGGCTCTTTTCCCTCCCCGGTCCCTCCCTGGATCTTGCAAATGAACTACAAGCACTGCCTCCTGCGATTTAGGGGATTGGGCTCTCTGGAGCCTGCAAATGAACTACAAGCACTGCCTCCGCAATATAGGGGATTTGGCTCTTTTCCCTCCCCGGTCCCTCTCCGGATCCTTTTTTTGCTTCCGACGACTGAAATCAGTCCTTATTTTCTGTTTCTGGTACAAAATCGATGTAGGATTCTACGGCAAAATTAGATATCAAGGCACTAGACTGCTCAATTTTGCCAAAATCTGAATTTTTTTTTCTAGTACATTATTCTACTACAACTGTACGTAGGCTCACTTTTGGGATACGATTAGCTCCCCGACGAGCACTGCCTCCACAATGTACTACTACTACTCTCAGGGAATAGGCTCTTCTTACCACGATCCCTCCTCCCTGGATTGATTACATGATGAAGCACGCGCTTCCAGTAGTAGTAGCACTATTGCGAATGATCGATTCACGGATATTGCTGATACTCAACTCAAGGCGCATATCAATCTGCTCAATCTTGTGAGTTAGCTCTCTTCCGATTGCTCTCAATTCATCGTGAATTTCCTTGCTGCTGTCCTCGCCGTTCCTTGATGCGAATTCCAACTTTCGATTGCTCTCAAGCAGATCTTCATTCACTTTGTCGAGCTCATCTTCAAGCTCAGCAAGTTTGTCAGCTTGGACATCCTTCATCCGCTTGATTTGTTTTTCCTGTTGCTGAATGGTGGCCTCAAGGTCATGAACAATTTTGGTGAGCTCATTGTTATCTTCTTTGATTTCCTGGAGCTCTTTTCGGTGCTTCTTTGAATCCTCACTTGCTTGTTCTTTGAAGCTATTCTTCCGCTTCTTTGCTTTCTTCTTTAGCTCCGCAATTTCTTTTTGAAGCGCAAGCTTCCTTGGTGACGGGGACGACGACACAGCAACTTGTCCGCCTCCTGGTGCCTCAGGGAAACTGCTGGTGCTTGTTTGATTCGGTGCCGTGTTCTCCTTGTTGTTGTTATTAGTAGTATTACTAGTAGTAGTATGCAAATCGTGACGACCACTACCAGCAGTACTAATACTGCTCGGCAAACGACGATTCAAACCAACACGAAGAGCTGTTTGAAGCCGGTTTGAGTTATCATGAATGTAGGGCTCGGCTGACTTGGCATTCTTATGCCTGACATGGTTCATCCTCATCTTATCAGTTACATTCTCATTGGATGCAAGAGCTGTAATACAACGATGCCTGTTATCATGAGGAGTAAACTTGTCCCAGTCAGCAAATCCTGCTATTTTGGCAAACTCTTTGATCCACTCGCGGATAGGATCCCCCCCAATCTGTGAGTTAGGTCTGTAATGATATGGGTTGCCTTTCCTCCTTTTGTGGTTCACATAACAGAAGAAGCGCTTCTGATGCGGACTGCAAAGGCTGCGATAGTGGAAGATTAGTTTTACAATACAGTACTTGTCCTCCTTTTGCTCCACGACCCGTGGCTTCTGTTCATTGACAGTTGGATGGAGGACTGATATCTTGTTCGCTTTATCATCCCCTCCACATGGCGAGATAGTAACGTGCCGTAGTCCCTTGTTTACTCCACAGTCGTATGTACCGAGGGATACATCACTCCACTTGAGGAACACAAGCTCACTCTTTCCTCGAAGACCAAACTGTCTTCCAAGATCCATTGCAATCACCTTCATTAGATCAAGATCGTCATCGAAAGGCTTGTAGGTTCCATCATACAGCTTCGACCGGTATTTGTCATCGCCATGCTCATCAAACTTGGCTTTATTCCTCTTGGTTCCGAGTGTTGGATCTGCTTCCCTCTTTTCATTCCAATCTGCTTTGCATACTCCCAGGAAGCCTCCCTTCCCATTGAAGTCACTGCTCTTGTATTTAATCCCTCTTGCCGCGAATGCAGTGAATACATACTTGATATACGTGGCATGTGTCGACGTATCGAGTGACTCATTACTAGTATTCTTCTTCCCACCTCTTACTCGCATCTTCTTGATATTGAGTGTCCAGATGCAAAGAGCTTGATTTGCGATTTGCTTCTTGAAGGGCTCTGGTTCCCCCCCAACAACAGCATAGAACTCAAGGTCTTGTCTCAGTCCATCAGGAAGATCAACCTTGTTTGTAAAGTATCGATGGAGCTGGACATCACCAGGATCGTTTCCGCGAGGAGCTGTTGCTTCTCTTACAATCTCCTCAAAACGACGATGAACAGAGGCAACTCTTTTTGAATAGTCAGCAGTTGTTGATGTTGCTTCCATTACAGTTTTTCCTTTTACACCAAAAGTATTGGCATGGTTTGGATTTTTGAAGATCTTCTTTGCATACGCCCTTGCTGCTTCACGCTTGTTCCTTCTTGCGGCGTCTTCTTCTTGTCTCTGTAGATACGGATTGACAATTTCGTGTCTGGTGGTGACAGTAGTAGTAGTATTCTCTCCTTGTTCTTGTTGCTGTGGAGGAGGAACATCCCCAGGMTCAATCGATACTCTTGGGGGCGCTAGCGCTGGCGCTTCTTCATCAGGGGCAAGCAGAATTGATTGTTCCTTGCTGGATCGAAGGCGATGTGCTATGTAGCTTTGACGCGCAAAGGATATCATTGTGTTTGCCCCATCCTGTGTCAACTCTCCCCTTGCTGGTGGTGGGGACAGAGGACTATTGTTCCTGTTGTTGCTGCTGGTGCCGTCATCGATAATGACGCCACCACTGTGATTACTGGTGCTCCTGGTGCTTCTCTGAGAGAGTCCTAACTCAGGTGGGGGCTCATCGAATATCGCGTTTGAGTCAAAGGGACTGTTCTTATCTCTTCGATGGGTCATGCTGATTACTGATTACTGATTACTGTACTGATTACTGATTACTGCACTGATTACTGTTCTTGCTTGTTCTTCCACGCTGTATCCTGTTAATTACTCCTTTTTGCGTACTAGCAATTAGCGCACTGAAAATATCAATTGAAAATAGCAATTGATTTGATTACTGCTTCTCTGTCGATGCGAGCAAACTTGATGCCGACAGCTGCCAGTAGGAGGATTTGTACAGCTGCTCTCCTGATTACCAAGTTGATTACTAATTTTGTCGAGTAATCAGTCATCCAGTCGAGCTGCAATTAATATTGAAGAAAAATAACACGCATTTGTTAGCAACTGATTACTCGATTTTTTTGGTAACGCGCAGTAATCTAGCGAGCGGTTACTAGGCAAAAACTGAGTAACCAGACGGTTACCGATAGAGTCATGCCTACAAAAAGTACTTCATACTACGTAGTAGGTTTGGTATCGTACAGTACCGTTCGTACAGTTCGTACCGTACGGTACGATCAACATTCCATCTCTGTGTTTTGATGTAAAGTATCGAGCGGCATATCAGCCATCTTCTTGCGCCTTCGACCATCATAACAATGAAATCAAAATATTTTTTTATTTTTTGGTGTTCTTCAGCAGCCCTGCCCTACAACACAAAAATCAATTCAATTGAGTCTCAAGGCAACACAATACACAATACATTACAACTTGCAATAACACAAAACAAGCTTTCGAGCCCGCCATCCGATCCCTCTCTTTCGTGCTCTTTTTGTTTCGTTCATTCGTTTCTTCTTTGTGATTACTCATTCCTCTATTGCTACCTGCTCGACTTTCTTGGAAGCAATCATAGCCAAGAGTGGAAGAGACAGGCTTCGGAGAAGGAATGAGTGAACGAGGAACCATCTCGAATCGCAAAAAGTACGAGCTGGATCCAGGACAGACCGATCCACACAAGCCGGGTCGGTTGGGAAGGCGGTCCGCGCAAAGCGTACCTTGAAACAAACAGACGAGACATCCCGGAAGAAAAAAGCGACGCAAAACAGAGCATGTCGTCCGTCCGGAGACGGCGGCCCCCGCCGGACCACCACACCCCTGAGAATCATTCCCGTTCAGACTCGCCGCCTCCGTTTACGCTACCACCGATTCCGCCCCCTATCCGGAACACGGCCACTAACGCGGAGACTCCATTTCCCGAACGTGGCATCGATAACTACAATCAATATAACAACAACACCCAGATGGAGCGAGTGACCTTTCACCTGCATTCCCGGGTGTGCCACTTTGGACTCGACTACACCACGTACCGATTCCGAAAAGTCGTAGAACATCTACTGCTAGTGGTTGCCATTTGCTGCGCGGGGGCGCTTGTTATGCTCCACCGGACCTTTGTCATCCACAACGCGTCGACAGCGTCGGCGCACATGCATTGGAGTGCAAATTCAAACGGAATTGTTCCAGCAAGAACCTGCCTGGATCTACTGAAGGGCTTTGATCCAGCGGCAGCGGACATTACGCACCTGGTGATTTTGCCCCAAAATCTGACCCTAGTGGGCAATCCGGGAGGCGAGGATGTCGATGACACGAGCGACGATGGGAATGGGAATCTCGCAAGCGCTACAAAGAGCCGGGTCTTGTGGAACCGAAAGCGAAGAACCCATTGCAACTTCGACAACAAGAACAAAAACAACAAGATGGATTCGAAACCTTCCGAATGTGCCGCTACGAAAGGAAGCAACGAATCCTTCGGGCACGCCCTGAATGCTCTGGGGGTAGAGGCAGCGGACAACAACGACGATGAGACGACGCTTGCCTACGAGCAGTGGTTGGACCAGCAGCTTGCTTCGAAGACACTTGACGTCCGGTACTCGTACTCCACCACCAAGGCGTACCTGATGCTCCCCCGGGATCACCCCTGGCTGTGGAAGGACGACATGATGCTAGACGTTCAGTACGTCCTGGTGGCACCCGACGATCCGGAGTGCTTCGGGGAACCCTTTGTCCAGTTTCTACTCTGGAGGTCCTTTGTGGGTGGCAACACGGTCCTCTTGAACTGGATTCGAACCTTTCCATCCTATCAGCGGCAACCGCACGACTCCGTAGTTTCGGGTTATGTCTTCAACCCACGGACCCAATGGCTCAGAGAGCTGGACGCTACTACTTTGGAGGGAACGAGGGCAGCGAGCGAAGGGGACGACGACAACAAAGACCCTGGCGGCGAAACATTCCAATCGTGTTCCCGGCGCCTGGCCCGTTGGAACAGATCGTTCTGGATCAAGGCGGGGGTCTTTCTCCGGACCTCCTTTTTGTTCTTTTTCTGCACGACGCTCGTCTCCTTTACGCTCCGTGAAACCCAGGAGCGCATGCTAGAATTCACCCAGGAACTCTCCCGCCGGGTCCGCCAGTCTATTTCCCTCTCGGACCTAATCACAACCCACCTGGCGCAGAACCTAGTCTTTGTCCCCATTATGCTAGGTATGATGTTCTTTCTGATCGAATTTTACAACGGGGACAAATTCCTGGCCTTTGGGATCTCCAGCATCGTGTGGTGCGTCGAGGGCTTTTCCATGGTCTGCCTTCGGTCCAGCCAGGGATTGTCGTACTTTCCCTACTTTTTCTTTTTGCTCTTTTTGCTGTTCCACGTCTACCAAACGGCCTTTCCGGACCACGGCTTTGTCTACGTGGCGCTGACGGTCGTGTGGTGCTTCATCCTTCACTCAATGTTCTTTTTCTGGCACCGATATGAGCTACCCGCCCTGGTGCTGGGGGCGGTCACCATCGACCGGCCGCGGATGAACGTGAATATGGAGAACATTGGTGGGACTATCAACATGAGCAACACCGGAAACCACCATCAAGATGCCACAAGCAGTACGGGGGTTGTTTCTAGTGCGGGTTCGGTTTCGTCGTCCCAGCACTCGCTTTCCCGCCGGTTCGAAGGGCGAAACGACGATTCTGCTTTGGAACAACAAGATGCCAACGGAAGCATCGATAGGAATCCCCAGTCCGTGCCATTTGCAGCTACCGGAAGAAGTGGCAACGGAACAAGCGCCACTTTTCTCCCATCGAACCAGTCCTTTCTCTCGACGGCTTCCTCTCGGAGAACTTACGGATTATACCAGCACAACCAAGAGGACGACGGCAGCACGGGGTCGCATCTGTATTTCATGGGGGGAGAAGTCGTGGTGCACCGACCAACTAGCAACTCTGCGAGGAACAACAGCAATCCTACGACCATTCAAAACGTCAATAGTGATCTATCGCTCCCACCTCCCACCCGGAGCTGGGCCATTACGGAGGGAGGAGGTCCCCGGAATGTTGTTCTGTCGCGCAACGAAAGCAATTTTTCGCTCCTTTCGTCTACCTCGGATGCGTATGGCAGCGGTGGATTCAACGGCAACGGCGGGGATCAGGAGGACGAAGACCATCTTTCCAGCGCTCCGGTTGCTGCTGCCACCGATCACCACGATTCTTTTGGCAGCCTGCCGAACGATACATCACTCGAAACGATTCCGGTTTCAAATCTTTCTACCCCGCAGAAGCACCCCAGATCCAACGGGAGCACCCACGACGCGGGAACCGACAGGATCAACCATGCTGCTTCGACCGCTACCGTGAGCTCGGAGGATTATGCCCATGAGTCCGGTGGGTTGCAGGCCATTTTCGAAAGCAAGCTGACGCCGAGGGTTCGAAACACGGAACGAGAACGAGCGAGTCAATGTGTGTTGGGAATGGCCGGGCAGCCGCAGCTCCCGGAACAGCAGCAGCAGCAGCAACAACAACAACAACAACAACAACACCAGACCTCTCCCACCAACGGCACGCAATACCAACGAAGGCCTCCTACCTTTCCCGAATTGACGCGAAGCAAGAAGTAGAGAACCTCGAAAAGAAATCAGTTGCGCTTGGGCGGCTGAGAGGCATGAATGCAATGAAGATTGTAAAGCCATTGATTCAAGAGAAAGAAATTGTCCGTAAGCAGTTCATCCGCGCGTGCATCGCGAGCAAGCAATATATCAGAGACGCATGAATATTTTTGATCTCGTAATTCGAAAAAGACGCACAGACCCACATATTTTCAGACCAAGACGAGATATCTATTGGTACGTCTTGCGAGAGAAAAAGAATTGCGAAAAACAAACATCGCTAACAATTACAACTATTATGACTATCAATACTTATATCTACTGAAAAATTTGGGTAGTGGAGATGGCATGAAATTCTTGTTCGGTTGGCTGTTCAGAGAATTTTCGAAACAATTATAAATTGATATTGAGAGACACATTATGATACCATGGTGTCTTGTTGAAACATCAATGCACGTGGCACACAATGGCTAGGTGATATGATTGGTGTTTGGGCTTTCTTGCTTCTTTTTCATAGATTCGTCGTTGGGTTTCCTTTGTGTTGGCTTGCTTTGGTTGCAGACTTTCTCTAGTGTTTCCGTTCGCAACTCGGCTCGTACCGTAAGGAGCTTGCGTCGATCGCGAGGCATGCGGTGCCACGACTTCCATCGGCCACCTTGTTCGTCGGTCGCTTCGTTTCGTTTCGTTGGCTTTGCGGCAGCATGCCAAACAGGTGTTATATTTCCATGTCCGACGACCTATCCAGCCTCAAAACAGGGTTGCTCTCAATGTCGACGACGTCGTCGTCGGTGGAGGAGTAGGAGGATTGACGGTCGAGTGCGTACTGGTTGTGGTTCCCGAATCCCTTTCCCGCGGCGGCCTCGGTGGGGGACAGCCGCTTTCGCCGGAGCTTCGCGGATTCCCTCCGGACGGAATCGTTCAGCAAGGATTGCCCCCGCGCGTTTCCCACCCTGGGATCGAAGAGGACCATCTGGATGTCCTCCTGCGTCGGTGGGTCGCCCATCGAACTGAGCTCGGTATCGGCGGGGTCCCACCCGTCCGATCCCGGAACCCCAAAGGTGTTTTCCTCGTCTCCGGAATAGGCGAGGTAGTCGTCGTCGTCGTCGTCGCCGTCGCTGTAAACCTCGGCGGCCGCGGCGGCGCTCGTCCTGCGGTCCTTCGGTGCCGCCCCCAACGATCCGCTTCTCCTCCTCCTCCTTCCGGCCTTGCCTTTCCGGAAGGAGCCGGCGGGAACGGACGTCTTTGGGACCATGTCCACGGCTCCGCTGGTGCTGTGCCTCCGGCGTGCCAGGCCGGCCGCCGAGGTGTCCGTGGCCAAAAGGACGCTGTGCGACGACCGGTCTTCCACGGGTGCCCTACCGGGGTAGCTCGTTCGGCGGAAGTACGGGTTGGGCATCGTCACGGAGTACCGCAACCCCCGGTCTTCCCCGTGGTCGCGGTCTTCCTCCCCCGCCGCACGGCTCGATGGCAAGCCGTGTCCGGAGTGCTGTTCCCGAGACGAGACGGAAGAATCCGAATAGGAAAGGTTGCTCGCGGCGCTGACACCGGTGGGTGGGTTGGTGATCGCCATCAAAACACTCGGATTGTTCTGGTGATTGCTGCTGTTGCTGTTGCTGTTGCCGCTGCTGTTGTTTGGTGGAGGAGGAAGCGTGGGCCCGGGCCCGCTCGTTCGTCGCTCAAAGGTGGATTCTAGTTGGTCCTTCTGAACAACGAGGTCCTGGTGCAGCATGCCCTTGTGTTGTTCCTCGAAGGATTCGGGAGACTGCAGCGAGGCCAGGTGGGGCTGGATGCTCACGACGTCGCTAAAGTCCGACACGGTTCCGTCCCTGTCCGAAAAGTCATACACGCTGCGTGGGTGGTTGTCGTAGTAGTGTTGAGAGTTGTTGTGGTGGTGGTTGTGGCCGATGGGCACGGCCACCGGACCACCCCTGATTCCGTCCCGGGAGGACGGCGGCGCCAGCCCGGCATCGGGTTTGTCGCTGCTTTGGCGGTGGTTGCCATCGCTGTTGCCGGTGCTGCGAATGCCCCTGCCGTGGACGAGCTCCCAGTCGTCTCGGGACAGGCTCCCAAAGGCCAGGCTCGCCGAGTCCGACGACAGCCCCACCAGAAAGTCTCCCCTGCCGGCGCTTTTGGGTGTGCGCCGCTTCCTCCGCAGGACAAAGCCCGCGACAAGGAGGCCGAAAAAGACCACCGCGGCGCCGATCCCCCCCGCCAGGGCCGCGGTCCTCCCCGTTCCAAAGGGAACCGGGTTTTGGTGGTCCCCCGTCGCCGCCAGCACCTGGTTGGAGGCCTGTTCCGGCGGCTCGGGAGCGGGCGTGGCCGGGGACACCCCTTCGGGCCCGGCCTCGATCTCCGTCTCGGGAACCGCCCCCGGGGTTTCCCCGGTGGCGATCGGTTGGAGCAGGACGGGTTCCGAGGCTTCCGTCTCGACCGTCACGAGCTCCAGCGAGGGAAAGGAGTCCCTCAGGGCCTCCACCACGCGGTCCGGGTTTCCCAGAGCGGACTCCTCCGTCGTGAGGGTTTCCAGGAGCTCGTTTTCGTCGGGCGGGTTCCTGGATCCCTCCGCAAAATAGACCAGGCCGGTCATCGTCAGCTCCGTCGCCACCGCCGTTTCGGTCCTCTTGTCCTCGAGGACCAGCCCGACGTAGGTCACGGCACCGTCGGTAGCCCTCGGGTCCCATGGGTTCCGACCGGCACCGGAATCCCGGATCGAGTCAGCGTAGGACGATCCCACCACGGAGTAGCTTCCGTCCGGGTCGTTGCTGGCCGCGTCGTCGTCGTTGCCGTCGTAGATCGCCCACGGCTGGACCTCAAAGAGATAGGCCTGCAGGACGGATTCGATCGCGTTCCGGACGCGGACGGCCTCGGCGTCCGTCAGGCCGTTCGGGAGGGGCTCCAGGGTGAGGGTGAACGACCGGATCTTGCGGCGGACGGGGCCGATCGCGGCAGAGGCGGTGGTGSTGCTGCCCTCGTCCACCGGTGGACCGCCGAAAGCAGAGGCGGCGGGGTCGACCGAKCCTTCCTCCATGGTGAACAGTCAGCTCGATCGTCGCTTGTGGCTGGCGCTTGTGGCTGCTGCGAATGATGTGCACAGCGGGTGGCGTGGCGTGGCGTGGCACGGCGCTTGTTGGGTTGTTGGGTTGCGTGCCGCAATGGCAGGTGTTTGGGAGAGGATGGCCGCGGTTGCAGGGTGTTCAAGTATGGGGCGAATGTGCAGGCGCGAATCGATGGGGGACGGGAGGCAAAGGGTGCTGTACGGTACAACCAACGACTCGAAGAACCCGTGCCTTTCGATTTGCTCGTTGTGCGGTAGAACCGTACAAACTGTATTTTGTGTTGCTGATTCTGATCCACACCAACGACGAATGTTTTGGCTTCGTTTTTGTTTCGCAAGAGAACAAGTTCGAGCACAAGTACGAGCACGAGTACGAGCACGAGTACGAGCACGAGTACTCGTACGTAGTAGAGAGAGTTCCAACAACCTGGGAACGAAAACCGGTACGGTAGGAGTTGCCGGCCGACGTATCATTAGCACGATCGCCGATACAAAAGCGTCCATCACCTACCTATCACCTACCCGTACAGTAGTATGAATACCAGTTCCCCTACGGTACCGTATGCAACGTACCACCATAAATGATTATCAAGGACAATACCGGTAGTTGAATTTGTCAATTGCCGTTCGATGGTACGATGCTCTGAACCCGTACGACCACTCGTGGCGACATGGATGGTGAGTGCCTTCTCGTCTCGGTTCCTGACACGGAGGCCATTCCCTAAAAACAAGGTTTACACGAATCGAATCGGCTTTGCTAAGCCCGACATGAGTTTGAACGCCCGTTCGACTTGTAGTACGGGTAAAGTACGGTACTTTACTGCGCATCAATTGAAAATACGTTTCACAGGGCTTTCATAATGGGTGATTCCCGTTATTCTAGATCTCTAAATTTTTGGTCTGTCAGTCCATCAGAATTTAGAGTTTTTGGCTCCAGATTTAGCACATTTAGAACCGGTCGAACCACCCCGTTCTAAATACTCTAGATTTAGAGTGGAACCCACGAATWAAAAAAAAATCGTGTTTTATTCGTGTTTTACTTTGAACGCACCTTTGAGTCTTTTTAGTCTTTAAGTTGAAAATAATTAAGATTCCAGATTCCGGAAAAGACTGCAATCGAGCTGGCATCCTCTCAGTCTGTCTGTTGAATGTCTTGATTCCCGTTACTCTAGATCTCTAGATTAGAGTTTTAGAGATTTAGAATAACGGGAATCACCCAATGTTAACCTACTAACATTCAGAATGTTAGCAGTGTACCAGTAGGCTATGAAGAAATGAGTACTGCAGTTTTTGCTTCAATTTAACGTCCTGAATGCTCTACTTAGCATTCTTCAGGGTACTGCAACGGATACGTACGTACTGTATTGAAAGGATACGTACGTACTGGAAAGGAAGCATACGTACGATACGATGCTCCCTCCGAATGGATGGATATACCACTCCTACCTACATATCATAATATACTATTCTTATATACAGATCATACGATCCATCATGTTGATGATCATAAGAGGTCTAAGATACTATTCGAGAATACCTCACGAAGAATAGAGATGTCACGAGTCCRGAAYAGAGAAYCTYCRTGTAGRATYCMTACCAGGTCTACATGAGGTTCTAATCGGAACTTCGGAATTCTCGTGAGCGCACTCGGTAATCTTAATCTTATAATTCAATTTTCATACACACTTAACACCTACTAAGAGAGTACACGTAATCTCGTGCAGGTACTAGTAGTTGTTGTTATTCTTCTTGGACTGTCAGCAGCTCTCTTTCTTCCTGAATATAATTCCTCATGTCTTCATGATGTCAACCAAAAAGTTATCTTTTTCTGTGGTGGCAAGATCCTGGACACTTCCTCACAAAAGAATCACTTATTGCTGGAAAACAAGAAGTTTTTTCCTTCTTAAATTCAAGCATTTCCCTACTAGTAGTGTTGCCACCACTGCTGTCCAAAACACAATATCCTTTCTTCTTCCTCCTCTTTCTACTACTATCATAGGATCTCAGCACTACTAGTGATGATCTTCCTCTAGTACTTTCTGTTCTCCTGACTAGTAGTAAATATGATGCTCTTCATCATTGTTGAAGATCATTCTTGACCAGCGACCATTACTATCTAATACTGCTTTGTATTAGTAAGATGTTTTTTAAAAGTTATAGCTAGTACAAAAGGCACATTGCTAAAATTATTCTTTATCATCTTCCTACCAAGACTATGAATAGCATCAATAATGGCAGCAGAAATAGTAGTAGATATAATTGGGAGGAAAAATAATCCTGGTAATACTAAAAATAGTACTGCGCTAGCCTGATTCCTATAGTGCAAACTTAAAACAAAAGTCATGTCCCTCAACTGACTTCCTCTATGACACGAAGTTTCTTGCGCTTTTTGGAAATAATAATAGAAATAGTCCCATAATAATAGTTTTTGATCGTATTTTGATATCTAGGCACAGTGCAGTGAACTCCCCTTCCCCCCATAAAAATATGTGTATCAATATGATCGTTGAAGACTGTCAAGATCGTACCCTCTCTCCACCTATTTGCACTTCGTCGGATTTTGAAGATTGTTACGACTCCTTAGAACTGCATACGTCAGGTAGACTGCGAAGCTATTTGTTCTTTTTGGTTATGCAAGCACATTCCTAAACAAGAATATGTAGATCCGGTTTCTTTCGTCCATTTTCCTGTTCGACGTTTGTCTTTTCTATGAACCATGGGGAGCATACCAAATGCCCATGACCAGCGAGCTTCCCCAACTGAAGGTTGTGCTGTGCTTTGGCAATTTTTGACAAGGGAAATCGCCCTGCAATTTCGGGATGAAGCAGGTCAATCTCCAACAGTTTGATCAAGTGCTCTAGATCTTTCTTCCCCATTGCCCTAGCGCCTCTATCTCCCTCCCATGAATCAAAGAGATTGTAGTAATGAGCTCGATCGGCCAGCTTTTCGCGTCCTCCCGGTCGACAGGAGGGAACGCGGAATCCCTTCATATCGTTTGATTTGTTAGTTGATGAGGATCCGAAAACCATATTTCGTTGGTCGGCCTCGTTCATACCTGGATGGGAACACACCACATGGACTTCTCCATCCTTTTTCAATGCTTTCCAATGGTCAGTTGTTATATTATTCATCCCCTTTGCGTGTTGATTAGGATCATACGTTGTCACAAAGATATCAATCTGCCGTCCGATCAGTGTTAACCAATCCTGGGGATTGTTAGATAGGGGTACAGCTCCCCACTCCTCCAAGCAATTGTATTGGTGACGAAGATTTCTAGACGATGAGCTATTTTGAGTCTTTGGATCGTCGCTTATCAAAGCATAACATAACGAAGCGCCGCCAGCTCGACAAAGTTCAATGATAGCTTTCCCAAAGGGAGAGTATCCGCCCATGATTAAAATCGATTTCCCCTGCAGGGAATTTTCACGATAACGTATTCCTCCTTTTTGACCTAGGTGAAGCGATTGGAATGCTGCTAGGTAGGTCTCGGCCAAACAGACTACCCGCTCAGGGTTTAATTTTGAAGGAACCTTAATCAAACTGCTTTTCGGTAAACATGTAAACCGTGCATTGGCTCCAAAAGTAGATAGTGATAATACAATGTCACCGGCTTCAATTGACGAAGATAAGAAAGAACTGCGGGTACGTGTTTTCTTCTTTCCATTCTCCATAACTCTTCCTACCAATGCAGTACCAGGAATTATGTACGGATCGATCGAGATTTTCGGCCATTCTCCTCGTCGAATCGCACAGTCAGAATCTGATACAGTTGATGCATGAATGCGGATTAAGACTTCACCCTTTTTACGATTTGGAACAGGCAGAGAATCATGCCCACATAGTTTTACAACCTTTCGAGCGTCATCTCCAAATTGGGAGTATGCTACATACATGTAGCCCTTGACATCTGTTTCATTGGTGCCAATCGTAGCCTCCGTGACTAACCCTGAACTACTAGTGAGTTTCAAATTAGTACTGTTGCTTGATGTGGTTTGTACATCACCATCAGTCCCATCTCCAACATTTGTGATGTTATCAAAAACATCCGTATTGTCATCTTGAACGCATGCAAACGAAAAATGATTCTCCTGAATATTTTGACTTTTGTTTTCGCTCGTCATCTTCTCGAATATCTGAGCATTTCGAATACTTCGATCTCGAACGGCATCGAGTTTCTCTTGAATACGATGTTCTTGCTCAGTCACTTCATTGTCGTCAGGATTTTTGGTCGGAAATCCTGATGAATCAATCGGCGTTCTGCCAAGAAGCTGTTGTTGTATAGCCTCAAACATGTTCAGTGATGACGACTGAACTGCATCCTTTTCTTTCCCATCTGCCATCTCCTTCGAAGGTGTTTGCGTGAATAGTTTTGAAATCTTTGGAGGGCTGTCTATCCCCTCGCCGTTGCAACTCGGAAATTGACTTTTCAGAAAATCGTCAACCTTTGCTTTACTAATAGTGCTAAGAGGAGACGGGCTCATCATGACGGATTTTGCCAGGGAACCTAGATTGGGAGTAGAAATGTTTGTCGCAACGATTGCTTGAGTTGGAGGATTGCTGGTTACCGATATTCGTACATCCCTATTAGGAGGACGGGATTGGGCACTCGTTCCCTTTGAGTCGGACGAATTCGATCCCCAAATGGCTTGATGAATGGTAAATTCAGCTGCCGTCTCGTGATCGTTTTCGCTCTTTAATGTTGGTTGTCTACTACCACCTGGAACTGACTGCCCGTCGATGCTATACGTACTGTCCTTGTTGGAATTGCGCGACTGATCGAATGACATTCGTTGGCTATCCATGGATCCGGGCCTGTAATTTTTCTCTTCCAATGAATCTTTGTAAATCCCCCGCAGCATTTGCAACTCGTACCTCTTTTGGGCTTCGGTCTTCGGAAGTTTGCTATTTGTGCTCTTGGAATGCAACGCGGACGGTTGCAACGAGCTACCCGGTGTGTTCTCTGTCCCTTGCAAAGAAAACTCCGACCAAGTATCTTTTGATCCTTGGGAGTGTTCCGATCGCTGTCTAGGAATCTCGTTGTTTTGCCGAGCCAATGGAATCACGTTGTTGGGGTTATGATTTTGTTTTTCCAAACCTGATCTCTGATGAGAACGATCCCTTGTGGGATGTTGCGGACTTTGCCTGATATGCATTCTCATTGGAGCGTCAAAAAGATCTACGACTGCGTTGAGCGGACTCTCTCCGTTTACAGGTCCACAATTTTTAGGAACGAAATTTTTAGGAGAGAGGTAGGGCGGGGGCGAATTCTGCTCCTTCAGTATCGACCTTTTCTTTTTCAACAATCTTGGGCCCGTTGCTGCATACTTGTCTGTTTCATGTGAGATTCTGTTCGGAGATCTGTTCGGCATGCTTCTCACTGTCTCGGGTGTTCTCAAAGGTGGTCGGGGCTGTGCTAATGACGATTCAATCCCATCTATGGTGGCCGACTTGTGGGAAATCGTTTTCCGCTCGGGCGACAAGTAGCTTTCTGGTGACATTTGATCATCCAGTAGAGACTTATCGAGACTCAAGGATTGAGATCTTTGGTTTCGGCCCAGATTTGTTTCTCGGGTAGCGACATCAACATTCAGATCATATCGTCGGGTCCTATTCTGATCGGAATAATACGCACCAAATTTTGACATCGAGGGTGGGTTCTCTCTTCTCTCAACTTTGTGTGGCGATTCTCTTCTAATGTATCCACCACTCATGTCAATTCTCATTCCGTTATTATTTGGTATCTGAGAATTTAAATTCCGTCCGCGTTGGTCGTAGGTATTGTCTTCCCGTTTTTTCCAATTGTTGATATTAGTATTGGTATTGGTGCCGAATGTACCAGCAAGCTTTCGGCTTTCTCGTTCCTGTGATCTTCTCTGCGATTCATGAATGGACCAACCGTTCTTTGAATTCTCCATGATTGATTTCGATTTTCCATCGTTGTTATTTGATAGATTCGATAAATTCTCGATAATTCCGTCTAAGAAATCGGATTTCGTTTTGTTCCTGCTGTAGCCGTTGTTGTGAATCTTCGAATAGTTGTTCCCACCCCTGGTCCCACCCCTGGTGGCCCTTAGGGGGTGAACATCGTTTTGACGCCTCAGAGAGTTCTGTTGACGAGGATGCCAATCAGCTTGTTGTGGCTTCCGCGACGAATAACTGTTGCTTTGGTTTTTGTAGACTTTGCTTTGAAAATGATCGGGTAGCTCCCTGCGTTGTGCGTTCCTGTCTTCAGACCGTTCGCTTTTTGGTTTCCGATGAGTGTCACTGAAATTATCATAGCGATGAATATTATACTCCGATTGGAGCTGCCGCTCTTCTTCCGGATGTTGGTATCCTCTGGTTGTGTTTGTCAGGCTCGATACAGTAGTCCCTTCCTGATCGTAATTGCTGCTGCCAACATCTTCGACATGAAACATCATTGCATGCCATTGTTCCGCAAGACCGTGTTGATCACCACGAACAGAGGGTGACTGAGGAAGCGGCAGGCTAGTTGGTATCATGATTGCTGCGTCTCGCTCTCTTTTCTTTCTGTTTGCTTGTTTTGCTCTGCGACTTATTGATACACTGGTTCCGATCTTCTACAATACCAACTTTAATTGATGATATACAATATTGACGACTCAAGTTCATGCATCGCTTCTTTCTTTCTACTGCACATAAGATTGCTCAGCTTGTACATCACGCAAAGAAGACAAGAGCGAAATCGAGAAGAAGGGATGATTCTATTCGTGTCGTATTAGGTAATGGATGTTGTTGCGTCATCTTAGAGCAACGGTATGGCAAAAGCTAAAACTGTTAAGTTTGTGTGTTCTGACTATCAAAAGGTAAGGCTCAGTCGGCGCTTATATTATTATTAATTGATGAATATAGTTTAATGATAAGGCTATAACGGTCAAAAATAACTTTTCTGCCTTCTGTGTGCGTATGAATACTCGTTAAGACTCATGTATACAATATACAATATATATCTATACTACGTATCAATAAAACATGCGAATGACGGAAGGACACGACTCATTCAGTCCGCCCATTTTATTATCGGCGCATGATTCAAAGAAAAAAAATTCTGTCGTTTGGGAAAACAATCGTTTTACTGATGGCCTGCTGTTTGAAACAGACGAGTTCGCTCCAATTCCAGTTGCCAAGGGATCCAACGACGGCAAAGACACGATACTTGGAAGAAGCAATGTCAGCCGATTCGCAACTAGGACAAAGCCAAAAGGACAACGATGTCGCAATCAGTTCAGATGTGGCCGAAGAAGAATACTGGCCGGCTCCTCCGCTCCTAACCGGGCACAAGATCCACACCATTCGATTTGGCGGGAGCGGAGCCAGCAGGCACGGCAATGTAGCCGGGAATGGAAGAGACCAAGATCATGGGCGCGTTCTTAGGTATAAGAGCATGTCGAGCGAGGCCCTAACCCCCCTGGACATGACGTACAGCGATGGCAACGATGCTCTTGGCGACGATGAATTTTACGACGGGACGGGAAATCTCATGTGGATGGCCGCCGTTTGCTTCGGGCACCTGGTTGCCAAAAACGCAGAGCCGCTGCGGAACTATCTGCCGCGAACACGACACGGATCCGAGAAAGCATACGGAGATCGCCAACACAGAACACGGCAACGACAACGACACCGCGTTTGCGAGCTGGGATGCGGGACGGGCGGAGCGGGGATTTCGTTGCTATTGTTTTCGAATCCCTCACAAAACGGGGTTAATGGAATGGAGGAAAGTGATTCCAGAGAGACAACCACTGTCGGCACGAACAAGATCGCCGTGGAGAAGAGCGATGATGGCGATATAGATGGTTGCTGCCATGTTGTCTTCACCGACAACGATCGGGAGAGCCTGGAATTGTGCAAGTCGAATTGCGAATTGAACGGTCTTGACGAGAGGGATTACTCTCACCGGCTTCTGTGGTGGGGCCCACAGGACCAGAACCAGCAGGAAAACAGAGAGGAGGAAGAATCACCGTTGCAAAGCACACCACTAGAACAGCATTCGTTCGACACCGTTCTGGCCACGGATGTGGTTTACGACCTGAAGATGATTGCACCGTTGTTTCAGACGGTCGAATTCCTGCTCAGAAAGCCGGTCCGGCAAGGATGCGACAAACCAAGCGCCGAGGGCTCAGAGGGTGGGCACCTGATCCTTTCCCACGTACCGCGCTTTTGCATTCCGAGGCAAGACCGGGACGAAGCAGGGGTGGAGCCGGGCAACGAATCCTGCGGCGACGGCGACGGCGACAGCGACGAACCCGGGGAGGCCTTTCTGGAGCTGGAACGGTTCATTCGGTCCGAGGCCGGGAAGGTCGGTTTGTCTCTGGTGGAAACCATTCGACCCCACACCGTCTTGTCCGAAGACGATCTCGCGGCGGCCGGCACCGGTTGCGACGGAACCAGGGACGACGACGACGACGACAACGACAACGATTCCATGCAGCAGCTCACCCCGGCGCAGATGAAAGAAGCGCACGCCGTCGTCTTTGTCTTTCGACAGATGCAGGATTGATTGGGTGATTCGAGATCCTGCTTTGTTCAGTTTGCTGTGCCGTCCCTTTTTCTGATCTGGTCTCGGGAGAATCAGGAAAAAATACCCGCATGGTCGAATGGACCGGATACCATCGAGCAGTGCTCCCTCGAAGAATGTTCGTTGACAGGCTGATAGAAAAAGAAAACAAGTAGCAATTGATTCGTTTGGAGCGCGGCATCGATGGAGTCCGTACCTGGCAAGACACAAGGTCCGGAAGGATTGTTGTTTAATGTCAGAGGACCGTAGGGATTGGGTGCTTTGGACGCCAAAGCCGTCGTTGCTGGGAAACGAGCCGAGCCGAGCCGATCAGATTGTCGATTGGCACCGCTAGTATATCAACTCTGCCATCGGCGGAGGTGTTTCCTGTTCGCGGTACGTTGTTGCACCGCGATTCCTTTCTACTCGCTATTACTACGTAAAAGCAAGAGGAGTTACGTCCATCGCACCGGCAACCAGCAAAACAGAATGAAAAAAACTGCCAGCAGCAGTTTGCAAGGAAATCAAAACGTATTTTTTCTCTATTACTGTTATTGTTGCTGATTGAGTTAGTATACTAGTTCATTTGTTTACAAATAGTAGTGCCTCTAAAATGAAGTGATATGAATTGGATGTATGCGTGAATTGCTGTGATGCGATGTGCTGTGCTGTGCTGTGATGTGATGTGCCATAATGTGATGTGCAAGCAAGGTGAAAAACAAGAAATGTGCAGCTATGAAACAATCACAAACAAGAACACCGTGGATGAATTATGCATGCAGCGTGGATCGGAAGCTTCTCGGATGCGTTTCTGCCGTGTTTGTCCTCGCAGTGTCGTGGCACCAGGGGTGTGTTGCGTTGTGTTGCGTTGCGTTGCCGGAGATGGCGGGAGCGGCCCGCAGCCGTGTGGTCGACCGCGTGCCGTGCGGTGCGGTGCAATGCCCCCGGTCTTCTCTTCCCAGGGGCTCTACCGCCTGCTGCGGGCGGGTTCCACCAGAAAGATCTCCTCCCCCTGGCCGGTGGCGTCCTGGAACGGCAGGGCGCTGCCCCCGGCGGCGCTGGGGTGGTGTCCGCTTGCCTGGAGGCCCGCCGTCCACTCGGACTGGAGCATGTCCTTCTGCAGGGTGATCTGCCGGTCCCGGTCAAAGGTCTCCCGGGCGGCCACCGTCTCGGCCCCGCGGTCCCTCCCGCCCGAGGAGAGGCGGCCCAGGGCCGAGGCGACCCCGTTGGTCGTCAGGGTCCACTCGGAGCCCACCGAGACGCAGTCCAGGAGCGAGGCCCCGTGGGAGGAGGACGAGTCGCCGTGGTGCTGCCTCCCGGCGTACTGGGCGGTGGCCGAGGCGTCCTCGGAATCCTCGGCCGCCGGCGGTGGTGGGAGGCCCTCCCGTACCCTCCTGGGCCGGACGACCGTCAGGGGGTTGGCAATCTCCTCGTCAACCCCGTCGCGGCGGAAGCCCTCTTCCTCGTCGTCGTCGTCACAAACGACCGTGCCGGCGTCCTTGGCGGACCGGGGATCGGTGCTTCCGCTCCCGCCCGGTCCGGTCGTGTCGCGGCCTCTGCGGCTCCTGCGGAGGCAGACACAAATGGCGCAGAGGGCCACCAGGAGGAGTCCCCCGAGGACACCCGCCAGGATCTTGCCCCGTTTGGTCTCAAAGGCGTTCGCCCTGTCGCCTTCCTGCTGTTCCTCGAGCGCGTTGACGCCAATGTAGGTCCCCTCCGGATTGGTTCCCTCGTCGAGCAGGACGACGGGGATGATCGGGTCTTTCCCATCGCTGCTGCTTTCCTCCCCCGCCAGCTGCTGCTGCCCGGCCTCGTCTTGGTCCAGGGTCGGCGCGACGTAGAGCTTGCCACCGGGCTTTCGCTCCGCCGCGCTCCACGAGACGAGGGCCCCCTTGAGCTCGGTGTAAAAGGGCCGCTGTTGCTCCTGCGCTTGCGGCCCGTCCCGGAGGGCCCCCACCAGGCCCTTCGCCAGGGACGAGGCGATTCCCGGCTCGAGGCTCTCCGGGGAGGCACCTTTGCCCTCCAGCAGAACCACGGCCCCCGAGTAGAGCGCGCAGGTGCAGGGGGAGTCCGTCCGAGCCGCCGCGAGACTGCGAAAGCCGGGGCCGTCTCCGTCTCCGTTTCGGGCCACCGGCAGCCGGTGGCCGAGGCTCCCGCAGGAGGCCCCCTCCTCCCCCGAGTACCAGTCGATCGAGGCGTCCGCCGTCAGGGCAAAGTAGACAAACTCGTCCCCGAGGTCCTTCTCCAGGCGTTCCGAGACCAGGTTCCCGACCGTCTGTCGGAGGTCGGACCGGAGGACCCCTTCCGGCAGGGTCAGGTAGGTGGGGTAGAGGCAGACCTGCAGGGGGTCCAGCTTGACCTGTTTCTTGCTCGTGGGGGAGGAACGCCCGTAGGCCTCCTGCCGCTCGTCCTCGGGGACGACCCAGTCCGAAGCGGACGCGGTCGTTGCCGCCAGCAGAGCCGTGCTCAGCGAAAGGGACAGGGTCCACATAGTTATAGTTTTGTTGCGGTGGGTTCTGTTTCTGTTTTTGTTTTTGTTTTGCGCTTGACAAGCGGCGAGTGTGCGGGATCGGTTGCGTTGTGTTGCGAAGCAATCGGTTCTCGCTCTGTGCTACTATGATCTATTGGCTGTTACAAATTGGTTTGCCTTGTGTTGTGTTGTGTTGTGTTGTGTT